ATAAAAGAGTAAGTAGAACTCTTAGCAGCACTATCCACTAGCACATCTATATGGGGTAAAGGAAAATTATCCTTTGGGCTTGCCTTATTCAAGTCTCGGAAATCCACACATACCCTGATTTTGTTATCTTTCTTGGGTACTACTACGATATTGGACACCCATTGAGAATAATCGACTACTTCCAAGAATCCAGCATCCCACTGTTTCATTATTTCTTCTTTCACTTTGATTAGTATATCTGGCCTTGTCCTCCTCAACTTTTGCTTAACTGGCTTACAACCTTCTATCAAAGGTAGTTTATGTACCACAATATCAGTATCCAGACCAGGCATATCAGCGTATGACCAAGCAAAAACATCAACATATTCTTGTAAAAGAGCAATCAATTTCCCTCTTTCATCAGCAGAGACTAACTTCCCTATCTTCAACTCTTTTTTATTATCCTCGGTGCCCACATTTATCAGTTCTAATTCTTCTTTTGCAAGCGTCCATGTGCGGTCAGATTGTTCGACTAACCTTGCGAACTCATGGATATCCTCTTCACCAAACTCTTCCTCATCCATGGCAATTATATTTTCATCAAAGTTAAGCCAATTATCCACAGTGCAATGAGTTTGTGAGGTGTATGACAATCCGCTTTCAGATTTCCTGAAAGCGAAAAGTGTTTCGGTTATGAGTATATAGTTCTGGGAAATTAAATAAATGAACAGAGAAAGAAAGAAAAAAAAAACACGATTGAAAGAAAGTATGCATGATCTCATTGAAATCTAAAGGATAGAAGGGCTCAACCACAAAACCTTATTGCCAATCTCTTAAGCCATGATGATTTGGCAAGGCATAATTATTCAAACAATACAAATAACCAAAACAACAAACAAGTAAACAAACATTACTTTTTGAAAATAATTGGAACTTCATGAATTTCCCAATTTGCTAAATCTTCTCCCTCGGCCAGTTTCCTCATGAATTCTGATGAGTTATCTTCCAAAACGCTAATAGTCAGCTGAGGCAACTGTTCATGAGTACTATCTTCTTCCTTTAACTCTTGTTCACTGTCTTTTTCAAGATAATTGATAGTAACACCATTGAATTCCCTTCTTAGTCCTCCCTCATAATCTTCAGTTTTTATCACATATGCGGGTCTTGGGAACGTTACATGGATTGGTGGGATTTCCATTCGATCTTCATCTGGTTCTCTCCTTTCAATCCGGGCCATTCTCTTTTCTCTTCTAATTTCAGCTGCTCTTTTGAAATCTGCTTTTCCAGGCTTAAACCCTAAGCCAAACCTTTGATCTGCGCACTTCATTTTTATCACATTAACCCTCTCAGGCATTCCGGTAGTGTGGTCATATTGAAATGACAGTCCATGCTTTAAGAAGTATTTAGCAACCATTTTTGCTGCTTTGGAAATTTCTGGTTTCCTTCGTATCGTATTTTCTGGTACCCATTCAGCATTTACAACTTTAAATGCACGCAAATTCCCATCCTTACTTTCTTCAGTTTCTATGTAAGGGATCGATACATTTTTCATTGTTGATAAAGTTTCCTCAGCCCTCACAGTCACCAAATTTCCATTGATGATAAACTTGACCCGTTGATGTAAAGAAGATGCGACGACTCGGGCTGCATGGATCCAAGGTCTCCCAAGTAACATGCTATATGATTGTAATGTGACTTGAAATGGTTGTGGGCCAATGATTAGTTCAACATCAATACTCCCAATGATTAGTCGAGGTGATCCATCATATGCCCTAGCAGTCATAGTACTCGGCTTCATGTGAGAGGCATCAACTGGCATTTTATCAAGTACATGTCTTGGCAATACATTGAGAGCAGAACCATTATCTATAAGCACCTTAGCGACCACACAATCCTTGCATTTTACTGTGATGTGCAATGGTTTATTATGACCGGTCCCTTCATGATCCAGCTCATCATCGGTAAAGTAGAGGTAGTTGGTGGCTTGAATCCTGCCCACAAAATGTTCTATGGAGTCTTGTGTGATATCCTGAGGAACATATGCTTCAGTAAGAACCTTCTGAAGCACGTTCCTATGCAATTCTGAACTCAACATTAATGACAACAAAGAAATCCTAGCCGGTGTTTTCTTTAGCTGATCAACCACACTATATTCATTGTGCTTCATCAATTTCAGAAATTCATTAGCCTCTTCATCACTTACTGGCTTATTAACCTCATCTGTCTTTGTCAATTCCACCATATCCTTTCCTTTGGCTTTTCTGTGATTTTCCAACTCTTCAGGAGTAAAACATCTCCCACTTCGAGTGAGTCCTCCTATTTTAGCATGGAAAACAGGGGCAGGATTTGTGTTGTGAAAGGAATAACCATAATTATATGGTTGGGCACTAAAACTCCCGCTAACAGTATTCATAGGCTTGGTTAGGATCATTTTTGGTGGACCCTTTTCGGTTGGTATATATCTACAAACTTCCACCTTCTTGTTACAACCAGTCATTGTTCCTACCAACTCATCTTCTTTGGGTTTTATTAATCTTAATACTCCCAACGTCATCATATTTTCTACCTCTAAATGAAACTCCTCACACGAGTCGATATCATGCCCAAGCTGCTGATGATATTTACAATATTCATTATCATTCCTTACAGCTTGTACTTTGACTGGTGTCTTTAAATAGTCTGTTTGCCTCAACATCCCATACAATCTATCTATAGTCACCCTTAAAGTTGATGTACTTCCCCTTCCTATCTCCAAATTATTAACTCCCCCACTTCCAGAAGCATGATTTGGTAGAGGGTTAGAATTCACATTTGGAGACTCATCAAAAGAAATCCAACCAGCTTTGATAAGCTGAAGGATTTTTCTTTTGAATGCAATACATCCATCAATATTATGACCAACAGCACCAGCATGGTATTCACATTTTTGATCGGGTTTATACCAAAAGGGAAATGGTGGTTGTAAAGGTTCTAATGGAATAGGTGCTACCTGACCAATACTAAGCAATCTTTGGTGCATTTCAGTAAGAGACATGGGTAATGGTGGAAGTTGCACTTGATCTGTTGGAAAATTTCTTCTTGGGCGGTAGGCATTATTGGTTTGGTTGTTTATTGGGTTGTTTTGGGTGTTTGTAGGTGAAGAGAATTTTATATTGGATATAGAGGGGGTAGGTGGAATACTTTTGAAGCTGTAATTATCTTGGCAGGTTTTCTTCCCTCTACTTTCCCTTTCAACATTGTGAATTTCTGTTTCTTTCCTCTTCCCAATAAAACCTCTTTTTTCAGTAGGATCCACAATCCTACCCGTCCGAACGGCTTGTTTGATCCTTTCAGCTATGACAACCAAATCGGAGAAATTTTGTGCTGCACTACCTACCAAGTACTCAAAGTACGGGGCTTTGAAAGTATTGGAAAATAAGCCAGTCATCTCCCTTTCCGACAATGGAGGACTTACTTGTGCGGCTAATTCACGCCACTTTTGGGCATATTCTCTTACAGACTCCTTATTGCCTTTTTCCATGGCTTGCAGACTTGATCTATCTGGGGCAATATCCATGTTGAACTTATATTGTCTAACAAAAGCATCAACCAAGTCCTTCCATCCTTTAATCTTGATATTATCCAAACGCATATACCAAGCAAGAGCAGCATCACTTAAACTGTCCTGAAAGAAATGGATCAATAATCTCTCATCATGGACTACTTCAGCCATCTTATTACAATATGCTTTAAGATGGGTAATTGGGCACTGAGTTCCAGTATATTTAACAAATTCTGGAACTCTGAATTTTCTAGGAATAACCACGTTAGGCACTAAACACATTTCAGCGGCCTTCACGGGATCATACAAACTATTCCCTTCTATTGCCTTCATTCTTTCTTCTAAGTCAGCTAGTTTCTCATGACCATTTTCCTCTATTATCTTGTTCCTTTGAGGTTCTTCTTCTGTCAACACAATATAAGGGATCCTCATTGGATGTGCTGATTTAGTAGGTGCGAAAGGAGCAGCATGCTGAGGTTCGAATGACGGAATAAAGGAAGGTGGAGGCTGAGGTGTACATGTTTGTTGAGAAGATGTTCCTTCCCCAGCTCTAGGCCTCAAAGCTTGCTCGAGCATGCTAGTGAGCCTTGCCACATCCTCTTTCAGGCTTTCCAACTCTCTTTGGTGTTGCATTTCTAACTGAGCTCTCTCTTCATCTTTCATTTTCTTTCGTGAACGAGTATTATGGATACGTTTCAGTTGGGGACCTATATTTCACCTGTTATATGCAGAATATGACAATCTATAAGCAAATGTATGAGATGCATGAATGTGAATGCAACATATTGGATATAGATTCACACTTTGTTGGTGACATATGGTCGTTATTCATTGGATATGTGGGTTGAACTTGAACTTGATATCATTGCTGTAATGCCGAGGAGAGATCTGCTCAGCTTTTTGACATTTGGGCTTTCAGCCATATACACATGTTTTTTTTGAAAATGTGGGTCTAACCCTTTCATTACTTATTTAAAAGCTTACAATTAATCTAATCTATTACAGGAGAAAAAACACTGCCTTTAGCAGCTATTGCTCTTAAAAAAAGATCGGTGTTATCCATGCTTCTTCGATATTTCATTATGTCTCCTCCTACTTGGCAGGCTTCCACTCGTAATAAATGGGCTTCTGCAGTTGCTCTATCAATTTGATCTTGTAGTTCTCTTATCCTCTCAGTATGAATCAAGTTGTTTCTAGACAAAAAGTTATTAGCATTGTCCAATGTTTGATTATGCTGCTTTATCATTTTCTGGTTTTCCATAAGCTGTGCGGTCTTCCATTTTTCTTTTTCCAGCTTAGATCTCAATGCTTCTGCTTCAACCTTATGATCATTCAACGCTACTCTTTGCTCTTCATGTATTTTAGTCACATGTTTAGTGTTGACTATTTCAATCTCCGCTCTCCCCAATTGGTCTTTAAGTTTGACTACGTCCGCCCGACGCATTTTTAATGCAGTTTGCGTCTTCATAGCTGACTCTTCTCAATGCTTAGCTTTTGCCATATAATATGTCATGTCCTTATTAATTGTCTTCAATTCATCCTTTGCCTTTATCCAGTCTTGACCCACAGAGTCCCTTTCTTCTTCAACTGTTTTTTTCACAGCTCTTTCTTTGGCTAACTGCTGCTCCAAGGACACTCTCTGCTCCTCCTTTGCTTTAAGCTCGGCTTGTAACAATTTTACTTGTTCCCTTAATTCTTCTTCACTGTTCACTCTTTTTCTTCGAGTGCCCACAGATTCAGAAACTTCTGCCATATAAGAGACTCCTCCATTACGCCATTCGGGATACCTTTCACTAACCGTAGGATTCCTTACACCTGTCTCCTTTTTAACTATCACCAAAGAGCCCCAATCATGCTTAATGATCTCCAGTATTTCATTATATGCGCCTTCATAGACTCCAGTGAATTGAGCTAAACCAATTGTTCTTGGAATGCTTTGTATGCCCCCAAGCTGTCTTGCAACCAAAGCAGGTGCATAACTAATATACCCAGTCACCCCAATCAAAGGTACCCAAGGCTTTTTCCCACAGCCCATTAGGTATGCTACATTTTTCATCCATGGAGCTCTCCAATTAAAATTGCTTTGCGGAATTCCTTGCAATTTTACCCTCCAATCATCTTCAGAAAAGTTTTCCCATTCACTTGATACAAATAACTCGAGTGGCTTTTGGTCAAACCACCAAAAATTTCGGAATATTGGTGTCTCGGATTCTATATGGCTTACCATCCAAATGAACAATAATGGAACACAACATCTTATAGAACCTTTCCCAATCCTTTTGCAATGATTGAGAGATAAAAAAGTTTCAGCCAAGATCGCAGCAGAAGGATTAATTCTGGTCTTCTCATACTCCATAAACAAATTAGCTGCCTCTAAACTGATAATTCCGGTCGTCGAAGGACACAAAATCAACCCAAATATCCCCAAAGCCAATATTCGGTATACCTCCAAATTAGCATCAATATTAGACTTTTTAGCAATCAAAAGCTCTTCTAGTCGTTTCCATCTCAAACCCCCAGAATTATTTTTTTCTCTATATAAGCTCATTTGACGGATTCCCAATAGCTTAGCGAGCTCCTCTATAGTATTCTCAATCTTTTGATGAAAGTAAACCTTATGGATATCCTCGGGAAATTCTGTCAAAACACTGTATTCTTCAATGGTAGGAACCATGTCGATATTCCCAAATGTAAAACATCGATATTTAGGATCCCAAAAATGAATTAAGGTTTTTATGGCTAATGGCAGTACTGGAACATTCAGCAGATGCAAAACTCTCCCATACATCCTAGTAAATTCTGCCTCATCGGCCAAGTATTTGGTGAATGGAAGCAAACGACTGGCATCATTTATTATGCATCTCACATCTTTTAGTAGCGGTATCCCACTGTCATCCAGTCTAGAGCAGTCTCCCTCAGTTATATGCAATGATTCAGATTCAAGCCCATACTCAACCGTTGTGATTTCACGATTAACGACCATTATGTCACCTAAAAACAATCCTGTAATAAAGATGTTATATGTTAAGCTTGCCTTAGTGAGATTTATATAGGGAACAACTTAAAGGGTAAGTTCTAGTCATTAAATGCTCAAGGTAGGCTACTATCTAGTCTTTGAAAGGTCTTTCGCATGCTCAGTGATCTTCCTCGAAAGGTTGATATGAGGCTTACAAGTAGCGTGAAGATAGAGGCCCTGAATAATATCAGTTTAGGCATACCAACCACTATCGAGTAAACAATCAAGCGAAAGTTGGATGGTTTCACGAGTCTTACCCAGGCTAAAGCCATTGGGGTACCGCTACTCTCCCACTTAACATAAAGTTTATACAACAGATATTTATTATGAAATGCGTGGTGTGTGAAGGCGTAAATGCATATCCAATATATATGATGGCATGAATAAATATGGATGCTAAAGCTGTAAAAATAAATAAACCAAATAGAATAAAATAAAAACCAAAACACACAACAAATATTGGTAGCAATTTTTAACAAATAAAGCAAAGCTTAGTCTTAGTGTCCCTAGTAGAGTCGCCATTCTGTCGCACCCGACATCGCGACGGCCTTAAAAATATAATTTCATGGAAAGAATGGATTTCTGGCATCCTATTCTTTGATGGGGGAATGGTCTTGTTTAAGGAGTCGCCACCTAGTATTATGGTCACTAGGAACCCTAACTGATCAACAGAGATTCTATGGTTCGGGATTGGTTACGTAAAAGGGAAAATAATATCACCTCTTAAACGTCCTGCCTGAGGCAGACTGCATTGCTAGTTTCGTTTTAAATTGCTATATATTTATTAATTTGTGCTATGATAATTTGCTTATAATATCCCTGACTCTGGCATCAGTGAATATTTAACTATGGATATTTCCAACTCTGGCGTTGGTAAATATTACGCAGCTATAGAAATAAAATAAATCTAAATTAATATTCTTTATTCCTGACTCTGGCGTCAGTGAATAAACAAATCAAATAAATTTATTTTTACGCATGCACATATTTTTTTTTATTTTTCTAGCTAAATAAAATAAAATAAAACGAATAAAAATAATATAAATTTAAACTGGTATTTTTATTCCTGACTCTGGCGTCAGTTAATAAACCAATAAATTTACATTATTTTTATTCATGCATACACATTTTTTTTATTTTTTTATTTTTTGTTACTTTTATGTTCTTGACTCTAGCGTTAGTGAACAATTCCTATGAATATTTCCAACTCTGGCGTTGGTAAATATCGCACAAGACCAGAAATACAAGACTCCTGACTCTAACGTCAGTGAATGTTTTCCAAAAAATTAATTTGAAGAATAAATTTTCTATCTCATTTTTTTATTTATCCTTTATTATTTTTTGCTCTTTTTATATGGAAATTTTTTAAAAAATAAAAATTGCATGACATATTTGTATTTAACAGAAATAGTCCATAAATTGAGCACATCTACAAAAACAAAAAATACAAGCACAAAGAAAAGAAAAAAATGCGAGGGGTCCACAAATAAATTAGCGAAGGCCCCAAATATTTTTGGAATTTTATGTTATCAAAAAGAGGTTTATTTGTTGAAATATCAAATTAGAATGAGCATAAAAATTATGGTCAAGGCATAAAAATTATGCTTGCCAAGCACACCCCTAACAAACACAGTAACTAGTTAATTATTTTAACAAGAAAGGAAGGAAACTTACCTAGGCCTGTGGTTGCTGAAGGTGAAGTCGAAGGAGACTGGGATGAAAAAGGGTTGAGGGCGGCGGCGGCTAGTATAGGGTTCACCGCCCCCTTCTTTTTTATGTTTCTCTCTTTTAGGGTTTCTGGTAATGGCCTCCTCTTGAAGTTTTTTATTTTAGGGTTTCTTTCTAATGGTCCTCCTTCCTCTCTCTCTCCTTCTTTTGCTCTATTTTTCTGGGTTAATTCTCTGCTCTCGGGTTCATCCCTCCTCTTTTCTTTACCCTTGACATCTGTATTTATAGTGTCAGAGTCCCTTTGTGTGTGAGAAACCAAGTTTCAATCAAACTCATTCTCTTTTTTGAAGTTCGAATTAGAATCAAATTCAAAAGCAGACAACTATCATTATCTTGAGAATTATCTTGAACAAGGTAAGGATTATCTTGAAGTAGATAAGGATTATCTTGAAAAAGGTAAGAATTAACTTGAAGGTAAGGATTATCTTAAAGAAGATAATGATTATCTTGAGGATAAGGCTATAATGACAAAGGGACATTGTAATCCTTAATTTTTACAGAAGTTGACAAATCATACTTTTCATCGAAATAAATCTCTGATCTTTTAATTTTTCATTTTAAACCCTGTAAAAATTAAATTAAAAGCCAAAGGGCCAAAATTGGGTTATGACACCAAAGATGCTAAAAGGAGGCATTAATGTCTTTCGAGTTAGCATCACAACTGCTAACAGGGACTAATCTATGCAAGTGTCATGGCCTTTCTCTTCACCATTCCTATCAACATCGTGACTGCCGCAATAGACCAGATAACTTGATTGTAAGTTTGCTCCCTTTTAAATTTTAATCGGAGCTAGAAATGAATAAGTTTTGAAATTCTTCAGCTTTATCATGTCTAATTTAGCATGCCCAAAAACATAATATTCCAATAGTATAAATTTTTCTCAAACACTTCACAAAAGCTACCATGATGACCACATCTTAGATACTCATGAATATTAAATTATTAAATAAAATTGATAAATTTAAATTTAAAAGGTCTAAAAAAAATTTAAAAGTTTTATGAGTATAGATAATATATCTAGACCTAACCGCTTACGAGCTCAACCTTAAAAAAAAAATTAATGTGATAGGCTCAACATAAAAAAAAACTCATATCTCACGAATTTAACCCAGTAGATAAGTCCATCCTATGACAAGAAACCATTCCTTATAGGCTCTGCCCTAGGGAATGGCTTAGTGCTATGAACTATTCCCAATAGGCAGAGCCCATTGCGTTAGGCTCTTTTTCTAGGCCTAGCTAACGATAATTTTAGGTCTTGTCATGAGAAAAAGCTCTTTGTCATGGGTTAAGACTTGAAAAAAAGCCCATTATCATATGGGCTCGACTTAAAAGAAGAGTAGATATTTTATAAAATGAACTACATTTTAAATTATATTATTTTTAATTTTTTAAGTATATAAAAAATCTTTCAATGATCTATTATATTTTCACCGTATTAATATTTGTGTGAAGAATATTTATCTTTTATAAATGATTTTGTAAGTAATATTTATTTCTCATTGATACTCTCAGAGCAAAATTTAACTCTAGCTCATCCTCTTTATAATAGATTTAAAAATGTAATTGGTATGTTACTTGTAATTATTTTTTAAAAAAACATATTTTGTTAATTTCAATAGACAACATGTTGCCTGAAATTTCCTCGATTTCAGTCATTTTGGTAGTCAGAAAAATAGGGTATATGTTTTTTTTACCTATTTTTAACTTCGTTTCGACTCAAAACACCTAAAAAAGAACCTAAACACATCTCAAAACTCATAAATGGTATTAAAAGAACCTCTAAAAACCCAAAACCAAAAATCCTCTCAAGCTTAGATTTTGTTTTTTAGGTCATTTAAGGGTTAAAAAACACTTGAATGAAAATCCCCTTGCTAAATGGAACCCTTTAAATCCAACTTCGATTATTTTAAGTTGCAGAAGTCAATGGAAACATCGATTTTATCTCTCTATGGTCGGATTTTGATGACTTTTTTCTCTTATATCTCAAACTATGGGCTAATGAATAACAAAAATGAACTTTTATATCAAAATTAGATTGAAAACACATCGAGGGATCGAATATATATAAGTTGTAAAGTTTGAGGACTAAAGTAAATGTTTTGTGTGAACTTTGAAACCATAATCTTGTGGTGGTTTTTCTATTTTGATACCATGTCTTTGAATTTTGTTTTTATTGAGTAAATTTGATTTAATTATTCTTGAGTTTGGTTCAAAAAGGATAGAATGGCATAAAATAAATTGAGGGTCAAATTAAAAAAATACAAAATAACTAAAGAATGTGTATTTTGTATCCATTAATCAAAGATGAATTTTAATTATAAAACAATATCTGAAAAGATATCAAGAAGAAGAAAACACTTTTTACATGCATGAGTTTATCCCTTGATCATTTAAGCCGTGTACAAAGTGCATAAATGCGACTAGCAATAAACATCCCACAATCTCAATTTCCAGACAAAAAAGATACCACCGTCCACCAGTTCAATTGAAAACACAAAGACAAAAGCAAGCTCAGAGCTTCATTTATTACCGTTATAATTTATGCCGTACACGTGGATAAACCATATTAAAATCTGTATATCTTTGGAGGGTAAAACAGAATAAAGAAACAAGGATGAGCATGTATGTGATCCAATATGAAGATGCCACGCTCTCCACAAACTGACATCATTTTTACTAATCGTAGCATAATAGTGTCCAGTAGATCACCCACCCCCCTATCGGGTCATGCTTTGGCCAACAACCGGAGCCGATGGAGCCACGGTGCCACTTGGTCCCTGCAAACTCTCTTGCCAACCTGATAATTTCCAATAAAAGAATAGACAAAGTTAATTTATAATTTTGCTATCCCAGTTGTGCAATTGACCAAGGAATATAAGAGTGAAATACATACCAATAGCCATATCGAATCCACGGTGCTCGAGCTCACGGTACTCTTGGCACAGGGCGCAAGACTCACAGCAGCAGTGAACCAAACAGTCATTGCAAGGACTCTCCTCTAACATGTATTGCGTCCTTAATTTGGACCGGTAGAGGCATGAGTACAGGCAGCTGCAACCAGTGAAGCACCAAAGCAATCCATAAATTGCTCCACTCACAGCACAAGCTGCAAAAAACCAAAGAATTCTTCCATAAAAATCACAAATAATTATATAGAACAAAGAAGAAGAAGTAACATCCAAAATCAACTAGACACGCGAAAATTGATTGCTAGCAAATTATCAGCAATTAACAATAA